GCAACATCACCTGACAAAACTCTCTCTCTTCTCTTATTAATCTCGGCTACAACCCCCCAACATACCACCTCCATTTTCTCATTTCAAACTACTTCCAAACACTCTCAAAGAACTTCCTCATCTTACTCCAAAATTTCGAGTTTTTGAGTGTAGCTTCAAGAGGATTCTTCACCAAAATCATCATCCTTGGTAAGTTTTTGCTTAGATCTATGGTTTAGTTTCCTTATTACTTCAAAAATCTCCTCTTAACTCATGAAATTTCGTGATCTTGCATCTTAGAACCCATCCAAGCCCAAAAACCTCCCAAGAAGCTTGCTAGGACCAAAAATCACATCATCTTCTTCCATTCTTCTTCTTAACCGAAACATCCAAGCAAAGGTGAGTTCATACCCCCTATTTTCGATTTTTACTTTGTTTTGGGGGAGAATACAAGTTGCTTTGTGTAGATCTATGTGTATATGCATGATTATGTGTGTTTTCCATGAATTATTTGGTGATTATGTGTTGATTTCTTCATTAATCTAAAAATATGTTAAGAACTTGAACTTTATCACTTGGATCTTCATAAGAACCTTGAGAAAAGTATGTTTTATCACATATATTATATATAAACTTGTAGATCTGGGAATTATACACTTAAAATAGCAAAAATGAATGTTGTGCTCAAAGATCTATAACTTATACTCAAAAATCAGCTTTTGACAGGAAAGTTTTAGCCCAATCTCGAACTGTTTTGACCCTCTTAATGGAAATATTTTTCAAAACTGTTTTACATGGATAAAGTTCAGATTTATACCTTTAAAATGACTACTCTAACGTTTTTATACGATTTTTCTATAATTTTTGGCGAATTTTACAAAACTGCCTATCATATTTGAAATAATTTCGGACCAACCTGTGAAGGTGAGTAATTTCACACTAGTTTGAGGCCATCAAAAATTATGAGAAAAATTGTGAACAAAGTAGACAAAATTTCCAAACTTCCAGAATTTACGGATCCAAATTTCGACTTACGATGATTTTTCTACAAACTTTCCAAAAACTAGGTCGGAAAAGCCCAAAACCAGAAAAATGTGTATTTACACAAAAATCAAGCCAAAAATGATATTTTTAACAAAAATGGGTTTAAAATGTTATCTTTACCACAAACTAGTCATCAATACAAGTTTTGAACAAAATGGAGACTAAAGTGTTATTCTTACAAAAATTGGGCCTTAATTGTAAATTTTTGGCTTATTGGGCCAAGAACGTCATTTTTACAAAAGTAGGCTTTTATGCTATTTTAGTGAATACTTGAACCAAAACCAACGATAAACTAACAAACAGATTAATTTGATCATTTTCTAGGTTATTGGGCCTTAGTGACCCATTTTTATGTGTGAGAGGTCCTGTATACTATTTACATGTTTATTGGGCCTCATTGACCCAATAACATGTGCGACGGACCTTGGATACTATTTGTGTGCTATTTGGGCCTGTAAATACCTTACATGTGAAATGGGTCTTAGTCGTCCTTTCATATATATTTCGGGCCCATGTTATATAATCTCATTCCAATTGGGTCTTGAAATGATTTACATGTTTAGCGATGCCTTAGTGGTTCACTTACATGGATCATTGGGCATGGAATGAGTTTATACCTTTTTTTTTCTTCGCGTAAATTCGATTAAGGATCTAGTGAGTTTTTGTCGGTTGACACCTATTAAGTGTACGATCGTAGCCTGTAGTTATAACCAGAGTCTCTTGGAGGGAGAGCGGAGATTTGTGTATAGATCTATACGGGGATGACACCCCACACCTGAGCTGTTCGCTACAGTTAGACTAACTCAGTCTAGGGTGACGAAAGCCTTATAATCAAAATCAAAACCGGCGTCCAACGACGCCAAGACAGGTGAAATTGTCATTATTTAGTATGGTTATGACGGCTCGCTTAGAGGAATTAACGTTATGAAGTTTACGGAAGACCCTTCTCTTTTGCAGACAACGTCGGGTTGTCTGGGAATATTCTCTATACATGCTCTTTACATTCTCTCTACATTCTCTTTACCTTTTTAGTCAAATAAACAAAAAACATACATGCATTAATACAAGGTCTGACACAAACATACTAAACAGTTTGCAGAAAATATCGGATTTTCTGGTGGTTTCAAAGTTATACAAATCATTTTCACAAACATGCTTATGAACTCACCAACATTATATATGTTGACGTTTTTCAAAATAACTTGTATTCTCAGGAAACCGTTGAAGCAGGATGAACGAAACAAACTAATGGATATTGTGTTATATTTTGTTTCATCATTACTCTTACTATTTTGGCATGTAATATTCAAATACAATACTCGATGTAAACAATGAATGTTGTTATATTACATGTGTGATGATGATGATGTTATGTTTCAATTATATTCACTGTAATGATATTTCAAGATGAAGTCACGCACAAGCCCCCAGACGTTTCCACCGTCTGGTTCGGGGGTGTGACACGAGTCCCATATGCTTTGGCTATAGGATCGATCATGTATGATATGACATATACTTGAATTGATGTGGCTTATGCTTTAAGAATGGTTAACAAATATCAGGGAAAATCCTAACGCACCTCATTAGACAACAGTGAAAAATATATTTAAGTATTTGCGAAAAACAATAGACGTGATCTTAGTTTTTGGTGACAAAGATGAACTTAGGGTAAGTCTAATCGTGATTCGACGATAATGTTTTTATTAACATGTGAGGGCAGATATGGTATAATTGTTTTATATATAGTAGATTATACCATATACTAAATTAAAACCTTTTAAATTTATAATCTTGTATTTCTAATTTAATTCTGTTATTAAATAAAGTTCAAGATAATTAATCAAATATTAATTCAAGTTTAAATAATATTCAAATTTAATTAATTAGATATTCAAATTTATAATCAAATTAAATAATATTTCAAATTAATTTACCAAATGAATATTCAGATTTAAACTACTAATTTATTTTAAGAAAATATGGCTCATTTCATTGAAATTCCAACTACTTTTGAGGACCAAATACATGGGACTTCACAAAAGGATGTAGACAACTCTTAGCAAAATATATTTTTTTGTTTTTTAATTTTAGCATTGGGAAAATTGCATGCGGAAAGATCAAAATCAATCAAGGTGGAGCTACTCTCGATATGGAGGGCTAAAGTTACAAATATACTACATGAATCCTCGTGCGTTGTGCATGAATATAGTTACACAGTCAAAATTATAACAAAAATATTTCGTTAAAAATATACAAGTCATTGTCATTAACTATAAAATAAAATAAAATCTAAACTAAATTGAAATGTTGATGAAAAACATTATTATTACCCGAAACAATGTAATAATATAAATAACTATTAAAGCTAATGTTTAAACATTGTAATTATTGAAGATGATGATGGATAACAATATATATATATATATATATAATATATATATATATATATATATATATATATATATATATATATATATATATAACCTTATAATATAATGATATTATTATAGTAAAATTAAATAATAAAAAATATAAAATTTGTTAAAAAGTTTTACATTAATTATTGAGAGTTAGTGAATAATTTTTTTTTAATTAGTATTGCAAAAATACTATTGAACTTAAACCATATTACTTTGATGGTCTCTTAAAGAATAGTATGGAATTAACAATTATATAAAAAAATAATATAAATTAATATGAATAGTATATATGGAGACTAATTTAATATACTAAACAATAATAAGATATGAGGTTAGTGGTGAAGTCTGTATTATACAATTTAATTTTACCGGTAAAAATGTTTTTTTAGACTTATTGTGTATGAAGATCTTAAATCAGGCCATCCATTTTTTTTAAAAAAAATGGGATATAATTAAAAATAATTGTTAATTTTGTAGAATAATGAATAGATAGTGAGAGAAGTTCGTCAGATATTGCTAAAAGTGAAAAATAAGCCATTTGTTTAGCTAAAGTCTGTATTATACAAATTTATAGACCACTTAACCACATTTATTTAGATAACCTCTATTATAACAAAATTTAACTAATTTGATAAGATCATTAAGCAATTAATAAAGTCGTTTAATTGTATTAAAAAACTATTTTAATCTTAAACCTCCTTAAATTCCATCTAAAATTATTTAGCATTAAATTATTGCAACTAAAAAGACTTTGTTAACTTAAAACACAAAATGATTATTGTTAATATTATTTGTTAACATAGACACTATTTCTTAATAGATGACAAATGATAATTTAGCATGCAAATTAATGAGAGTGATTATGAAAGAATATACACCACCATTAAGTATGTAAACTCATGTATCCTGTTTAAATTGTGATCTTATAGAACATTATAATATGTGTTAAGTTGTACACTCATGAATATAGGTTAATTTTTATATCTTGTGAATAACAAATAATAAAAATAAATACTTTAACTTTTAATAACATAATAAAACACTAAAACATCTATTGTAATATTTGTATTCAAAAAATATATTAAACATTTATTTAAGTATTCATACATATATCTAAAATCATAACAAATAATGTTATTGGTCCTTATTTACCTTATTTACCTCTAATCTCAAACACTAATATATATCAAAAAAATTGTGTTGCAACAAGTATTAATGTGGAAAAACTCATTTCTTTGAGTGTATATATATATATATATATATATATATATATATATATATATATATATATATATATATATATATATCAGTGTTGCAAATATCGGCCTAGGCGGCTGATTAATCGGCGCCTAGGCGCTTGGCGGTCCTCCACCGTCGACGTTTATAGCAAATCGGACTATATAATTGGACGTGGTCAAAGTCGGTCAAAGACGGGTCTAGGCGGGTCTAGGCGTCCTTATCGGTCAACACAAGTCAATGTAATTTAAAATCTTTTTTAAGGGTAAAATCGTCAAAATGTAACAATGACTTCTAGGGTTGCTTCCGATTTCTCATTCTATGCAGTCAAAAAATCGACATTCGCTCTCTGGACTTCAACCACGAAAGAACGAACGAAGGGAATCGGCCCCATCTTCTTTTGCCGTTCACCGATTCACAACGTCAACTCTAGCTCCGTTCACGAAGTTGCAGTCCCCTTCCAAGCACACAGTTCTCGTATTTAAAGCACAAATCACTGCCCTAATTCGGTTCGTCATCACGTCTCTGATCCTCGGGATCCCGTCGACACCTAAAAGGTGATCTGCAAAGGTTAGTCGATTATTCTGTTCGGTGTTGTTGTCAATTGATGCTAGGGTTCCTTTCGATTTTGCCATCCCATCGCATTCAGTCTAATTTCGTTTTTGAAATTCGCTCAATCATCTCAAGGAACGAATGGAAGAATGAAGTGAACGTCGACGCCATCTGCTCCTCCTCCGTCGCCATCTTCTTCTTCCAAGCACATCGTCGCCTTCTGAAGCTTCCAAGCACATGGGGGACAGTAGAAAGGCATTGTCTTTAAGGTTGGGAATCCTTCGCCGAGCCCTAATTCCTTCAAGTTCGTTCACTGGTTCAGGTAAGATCCGACTCTGGCACACGATTTGACCTACAAATGAGATATGAGTTGATTCTAAGTTATGAATTTGACCAAATTCGTTTTCTGTTTAATTGGAAATCCCAGACGTGATTTAGAATATTGATGATAGCGATTACATAAAAGATCGTAATCGCTTATAAAATGTGGTGCAGATTCGCAATCTGAAAAAGGTATCAAGCGTATTTCCGGTTAGTTGATAACACTAAGCTTAAGCATTAAGAAGATAATGTCAATGGAATTACCTTGAAATTGTTTGCTTTCACAGCTTCATTGATTTTAGGTTGTTTGCATGTACTTGGGCTTGGGTATAACCCGAGTGTGAGTCACAAGGAAATTGAAAAAGCAACTGTGATTCATTACAATGGGAATCTGAAGCCGTGGCTGGAAATAGGGATTCCAAAGTTTCAAGGGTATTGGAATAGGTTTCTGGACTATGATCAGGCTTACATGAGGGATTGCAATAGCATGAGTAGCTAATGAAGAAGCAAATTTATTCTTTTATTATGTTAATTAGTGTTGATTAGGTTCCTGGAGTCATGCATATTATGTTGTTTGGTATGGGGTGGAGAGCAAATGTATGTGTAAATGAGAATGTTGGTGTTTGATGTGTTAATTATTGTTAGTTATATGTGATTTTACTTAGATGAGTGGTGATTATGGGATTTCTGCTTTTTTTTTTTGAAGAAAACATATTTATTAACTTATTTTAGATGAGTGGTGATATTGTGATTTTAGACGAGTGGTGATAATGTTTTTGAAGTATTAATTTAATATTTATTAACTTGTTTATATTCTTAGGATTAATGTTATATTTATTAAATTTTTAATAATTTTTTTAATAATTAATGGTCCCCGATTAATCCCCGTCTAACCAATTAATCCATTGACCCTAGTCCACCGATTAGCCTACGTTGAGCGATTTCTACAACCTTGATATATATAATGAATCATGAAAAAATAAACATAATATAAGTTTTAATAACATAGAAACACTAAAATATCTACTATAATATTTGTACTAAAAAACATATTAAACACTTATAAAGCATACAAAAAGAAATCATAAAATTCTAAAAATAAATTTTATACTTTTCATCTCAAACATTATTATATGAAAAAAAATCATGTTGAAGTAATATTGGATGCGGAAAAACTCATCTCTTCAAGTCTTCATATTTGAATCACTTATTTCTTTAAACACATGAATGTGTTTGCAACAAAATCTTACTTATATACTACTAATATGTATACAACATGTATAAATGAGAGGAAAATAAAATGTCATTATTAAATGTCATTAACTTAATAATTATAAAAGTTAAGTTAAAAAAACTCTTATGTGGATGTGATTAATTGATGGAAATTTGAAGGGTTGTGAATGTTTCATATAAATATGGTGCAAGAATGGTGATTAATCTTGAATCACAATGTTTCCGATAGCCTATTCTATAAGAGTTTTATAGATATAGATATAGATATACAAATATAATAAAAGTTATTTCAAAAGTTTAATGAATTATGCGAGCAAATTTACATACTGTGGAAGCCACATGGTCAATTGGTAATACTTGATGAGAAACAGTCATATTCATACATAAGACAATCATTTATAGTATTTTTGTTTCTTTAAGTTGTTCGTGTGGTAAGCATACATATTTGCTTGGTTTTGTAAAATGCAAAGAACCAATGATCCAAGTTCTTCAAAGTTTGTCATGTAAGGTCATGAACATGTTTAAACTCGAATTAAGCAACATATTTAACAAAATATGGTTGGACAATAATGTGTGTGTGTATATATATATATATATATATATATATATATATATAGAGAGAGAGAGAGAGAGAGAGAGAGAGCATAGATTGTTGAATGAGGAAAGTTATATAGTGGACAAGAGAAAGTTAAGGGTGCTTGAGAATGATTTGGGAAATTCATATAAAAGACAAGAATTATTACTTGTATCAAAGTTAGGGTGTGACCTCACACATTATTACGTCTGCCACGATTAAGCCCTCATCGGTTGGAATAATTTATGTTATTATGTTGCTCAGTGATCAAAATTGTAGGAGAAGAAAGAATGGCAGGGGGCAGTAAGAGGAGCAAGTTGATTGATCTAGTTTTCTTGAGCCATTAGCATGGACCGAGTATCAAGGAAATATGGAAGAGGTTTATTATGGCCAATGATGGTAACAACATTCTCAAACTTTGGGTTTAACCTATTAATGGCATACAAAACTAAACTCTTTTCTGGAACCGGGGAATCGATGTTGTCAAGGAAGAGAGTTTGGCGGCTTAGGGTGAGAATTTTTAGGCACTCTCTGATACCATGTAGACGGAGATATTTTTCCTAAATCAACCCTTCTCATCAATTCACATATATATAATATATATATATATATATATATATATATATATATATATATATATATATATATATATATATATATGTCACAAGGACGAGACTAAATACAATACAATAAATATACATTAAGAGGGTGCACCCACTATTAATCACTACACTTTACATCAACACTACCCTAGTCACACAAAAGATAGCATGATCGACAGTTCATACAGAAAGGTGTAAAAACTGCTTTCGTAATAAACCTGTGACAAAGAAAATAAATAAAATAATGATACAAATCCTCTAATAAATGAATGTTTTTTTTTTGTTATTTGTCACATTCTCATTAAATTTGTCAAATGTCATATTGTGGTTATTTTGAATTAATTTTTTTTCCATATGTCAATTTATGAGTTTTTCTATTTTATCAAATTTCAGATAATATTTTAATATAATAATTGTAATAAATGTAGTAATAAATGAATATCAATTTCGTTAATGAACTTACCTTTTAATTTCAAATTTCTCAAAATTAAAGTTCATTAGTTTCTTTTATTTATTTAAATTTAAAAGATAAAAAATATTTCTATTATAATAATTCATTGTTTTTCTTATTTTCTTATAAATTCAAAGTTTTTAAATATTTTGACCTCTATATTTAAATTTTAAAAAAAAAATTAACCCATATAATAAATGAGTGTCAGTAAATAATATGAAAAAATCAGTTATGTGTTCATAAGCATGATCCATGATCACAATCCAATGATGTGCGTAAGCACTCCTCACTTCACCCCCATTCAATTTATCTGCCCATTTTCATAACGATTTTTTTTTTAAATATACCCGAAACTATCATCGAAATTTGTGTTATCTATTTATTTAATTCCTTGGTTAACGTATTGCTAACAGTTCTACACTTTTTTTGCGGCTTATTAACTTATTTTGTCCTTGTCATGTTAAATGTGAATATAGTCGGCAAATTTCACTCGTTTTTAATAGATCTCTCTCTTTTTTTTTTGGTTAAGTCTATTTCTAACTGTTCAAATGTATAAAGGTTAAAAGCTTGGATAATGAATCATGTCGAAAGTATTTCGTTGTGTATAATATTCTAAATCGTTCTTTACATACATAAATTATTATTTCAATTGAATGAGTTTTCTAATCATATTTAAAACAAAAAACAAAAAAACATTTATAATCTTTGAACTAAATGGACGTTGCAATCTAATCCGACCCAATTAAGCCATTTAAATAACAAACGTGTGATGATGAGAAGTTATTTTGGCATGTTAGTGTAAATTAGGTGTAAGACCGTGTACTACACGAGTTTATTAAAATTAAAAGTTTAATATAAAGTTGTAAGCATTACATATTTTTTAAACTAATTCTTTTATATAAATACAAATGATATAATGAATAAAGTAACTAATTCAATATATTCTAGGAGATTTAAAATAGGAAGAAAAAAAATGGTTATAGAGTATTTATTCTGAAATTTAATAGAATGATTCATCTTAAATATATAAGCCCTTAGTAAAATGTGGATTTTAAATTTAAGAAAACAAATAATACAAGAAAATGACAAGTGAAAAAAGAATAATTAAGAAAAAAATCTTAGAAAATAACAAGTGTAAAATTCAATAAGAACATGACATTTGACAAAAATAATTTTAATTAAATCATTGACCATGTTCATTTCTTTTAGTTTGTCAAAGTGTATTTTAATAATATATAGAACTTGATATGAAACGTTAAAATTGTGAAACCAAGTTGAAACCTTACCGAATCAAACTACAACCAAATTAAACCCATTCTTTGTAAAATAAATAAATAAATAAATAAAATGAGCTTGTTTGAATAAGAAATTAGAATTCATGAATTCTTAAACTTATGATTCAAATTACATAATACAAATTGGTAATATATGTTTGGTAATATTAAAGTAGGGCGTGTGAAGTAGGAAGGGCGGGTAGAAACAATAAATTTGATTTTGTTGGTACTTGTACTTGATTCCTGGATTTCAGGACAACACTCGGACACATGGTCTTCTTAAATGCTTATTATCTTCAACCGTAAATAAAATAAAATAAATAAACCTTATTCAATAATTTTACCGTTGTTACTTACAAGTAGGGATGAGCATTGAAACTAGGTATTCGTTACTAAAACCGTCTCGGAACTATACTAGAACCCCTTTAAGCGAATCCGGTTTCGGTTCTAAAAGTTATAGAACCGCCTCAAGCGGTTCCGATTTCGATTCTTATTTTTTCGGAACCGCTACCAATTGGGTATCCGTCATAACCAGTTTATATATATATATATATATATATATATATATATATATATATATATATATATATATACACATTATCTTTCGTCATATGTTATATTTATATATAAATAAAACATGTATTAACTATTGTTATATGTTATATTCATATATGAATAGAACATTTATCAAATTTTTATTACAATTTATTTGTTATTCATATATGAATAAGTAGTATCTTAATAAAAGACAAAATGTTTTGAAAATTCGAATTCCTTATTCATATATGAATAACAAATGAACTGTAACAAAATTTTGATAAATATGTTATTCATATATGAATATAAATTGTGAAAAGAGCTAATAAACGTTTTATTTATATGTGAATTTAACATGTGACGAGAGCGGATGTAAATTGTAAAAAACTTATTACATGTTATATTCATATATGAATGATACTTAAACTGTAAAAAAATAAAAATAAAAATAAAAAATAACATAAAAAAAATTAAGCATACGTTTTATTCATAAGTGAATAACGAATGTATTGTAATAAAAATATGATGCATTTTTATTCACTTATGAATAATTATAGCCGAAACTATAAAAAAATAAAAATTTTATTTTATTTTAAAACTATATTAATATGGATGTCTATTAATAGATAATAAAAAATTATGAATTTTGATATATTTAAAATAGTTTTTCGATAAAAATAGCTTCTTAAAAATTAAAAAAAAACACTATGTTTTTGTATATATTATTATTAAGGTAAATATTAACATAGTTTAAGATAACATGTTTGATTGGAAAACACATGTGTATTCATTTTTCATTTCCGTCGGTACGATTGAGTATTTTGCGGC